AAAGGGTCTGGCTCTGTACCAGGGACATACGCCTCCGGCTACCCTGCCGCAAGCTGAGTCCCAGATACATAGGACCATTCACTATTTTAAGGCAGATCAACCCGGTCACTTATCGTCTGAAACTACCCGCAAATAGTAGAATTACTGCTACCTTCCATGTTTCTCTGCTAAAACCTCACCGACCTTCTCTTCTCCCTTCTCCCACAGGGTCTGACGTGGCTGAGGTGCCTCCTCCTCCAATCGAGCCGGACGGAGACCCCATCTACACCGTACGCTCCATCCTGGATTCGCGGCGACGAGGAGGCCAACTGGAATATCTTATTGACTGGGAGGGCTTCGGCCCTGAGGAAAGGTCCTGGATACCGCGTAAAGATGTTCTAGACCCCACCCTACTCCAGGACTTCCATATCAATCACCCCGATCGTCCAGCGCCCAGAGGGAGAGGTCGTCCTCGTCGCCACCATCATCGGTCTTCTGGAGCTGCCCGTGGAGGAGGGGGTACTGTCACGGATCCAGCCATTCCACCAGCGTCAGACCCTACAGCCCCACCTTCCCGTTCCAGCTCACCGGAGTATTGATTCCTTGCACCTGCCTCTGCCCAATTAAGAGATGCTTATAAACCCGCACTCACAGACCCTTAACCGTCTGGTCTCATCTATCGCTAATGTCTAAGACTTACCCGACTCCTGGTTTCCTGTTATCCGATCGTCTTCTTCAGCCGCTGGTCATCTGCCCTCGATTCCTATCCTCCCTGAAGCACACACGGACTCGAGAATTTGAGATAAGTCTCTCTAATACTGGGCATTCACGTCATATGAACTTCCCTGTGTTTTCCCTGAGTGTTTCCCTTCAATAAAGTCCGGTGAACCCTCATCCTGTTTCCCGTGCTTCAGTGGTGTGTGACACATATATGCAAATTGTGCGTATTTAGGAAAAATAAATGGGCTTAAAAAGTTATTTTTAAAAAATCAATATATTTTGTTGTTGACAACCCGAGTTGTGCATCCATTCAAATTCTTTGGTATTTGACATATTGTTTAATACAAAATATTGCATCATGGTTCATGTTCAGTGTTTGATTATAAAGTCATTTTATTTTACTTTTGTCTGATAAACAGTTAATGTTAAGTGCCTGCTTGATGTGCAATGTAAAATTTGGGTCATGACATGCATGTAAAACACATTGAGAACCACAGTAAACTCTGTATAGAGTAGAATAGTAAAGATCTGACTCATGTTGAGCTCCTCATAAAGCTGTGTGGTGAGTTTAGCAGCTTACTCTTTCAGATGACCTTTCATCCTTACCCACCTCATTATGAATATCTCAGCCATAAAAACTACTCAGAATATGCCCTCTTTTTCAGTTTACTGTGTCATCCCTCCTATTGCATCTCTGGCATCACCCTGGTTTCCACAGCAATGGGTTCAGGTGACAGGAGAGCAGAGATACACACGGCACACCTGTCACAGCACTCATGCCAACAGAAACCCTACTCCTCTCCTGAGCCTTTGTGTGCTCAGAATAGAGCCATCGAGACATACTTAAGCTCTTTGATATAACAGATGAATCTAACCGCAGTAAAGTTTTGTTTACGTTTATGGCTTCAGGCCTGCGGTGGAGCTGGTGGATGTCAGAATAGATGTTTCAGATGTTTCTGAGGAGGGGATCTGACCACACACCTGTCAACTCTGAAATGTTAGATTATTGCCAGAGTGATAGATGGTGCCAACGGGGCAGGTGTATAAAGCACGCTCTCAATAAAAGTTTCAAACATCTTGGATCGTTATCATTTGCTAATGGCTTTAATCGTTTCATGTGAGTGATAGAAATAATAATTATATGCACAGTTAAGCTATTTATAACAAAAACTATGATATTCCATAAAAAAAATTGTCAATTTTGATTTCATGGTGACTTTAAACATATTTGTCAAGTGTATTTCATTTAGGTGTAAAACATTTTTAGGTTAAAATGATACCCTTTTATTTCTAATTCTAAGCACCCCAGGTCTGTTTGTTTTAATCTCCATATTTATTTCCCCTTGTGCAAGTGAATTTTTTTTCACTTTCTTCATCTCCTGTCCTTTTACCCTCAGGCATCCTCATCTGTCTTTTGAAAGGAGCACTTGAGCAACATGATCTCAGACAAACTCACCAGTGCTTTTTTTCACAAGGATGTTTGACTTCTGAGAGATGTAATTCACCTCTCACATGTGCATCAGCAACAAAAAAAGTGATATTTTCTTAACCAAACAGGCTGAGCAACTGGTTATACCTTTTGAAATCTGTTCACAAATAAGATTTTCTAAGATATTAATAGTCTAATTTGACAAGGGATCAGATTTCTAGATGATAAAAATGAAGATTCTTGAGGAGAAAGTGTTTGTATATAAATTGCAGCAATGCATTATGCATCATATCATCATGAAGAACAGTTATCAATGCATAAATGAGTGATTTCTGACAAGATTTTCAGTGAATCATTCTATGCAGTAGTTGCAGTTCTGATCATTTGCATAGAGTTTAACTTTTATAATATAGCTAAACATGCCCACCACATTCACTAGAGAGAGCAATATTTTAGCTGACTCGTATTTTAGCCTGAAGCAATGCTTTGAAGTTAAAAATGTCAAGATTGATTTGTTTATTACAAACAAGCAGCTTTCAGTTCACAAGACATTAACTGATGGACTGGAGTAGTGTGGATTACTTGTGGATTATTGTGATGTTTTTATCAGCTGTTTGGACTCTCATTCTGACGGCACCCATTCGATCCATTAGTGAGCAAGTGATGTAATGCTAAATTTCTCCAAATCTCTTCTGATTAAGAAACAAACTCAACTACATCTTGGATGGCCTGCAGGGTGAGTACATTTTCAGCAAATATTCAATTTTGGGTGAATCATTCCTTTAATGATTTACATCCGTTTTGTTTCTTCGGTTCAAATCACTGTATGAATGTAGATAGAAGTGCTAACATTAGCGATGGGTAAAAAAAGTGACGAGATCAGTGGAGAGGATAAAGTTTCCTGATATGCTTGTTGTATAGAGTACTGGCTGTGCTCTTAGTGTGGTTATATAAATAAAGAGAAAGATTTTATGATCATACACCAACAATACTCAATCATTCTCACATCATGCCAGCCCCAACTGTAAAAGTTCTACGTGTGTCTGCAACCCCTGTGACAGCATCATGTGTGCTTGCTGGATTGTTTTTTTATTTTAAGTAGACCTCTTTCTCTCTTCTTTTGCTCTCTATATCTCTATGTATCTGCTGTGGGAGGCTGTGCACTTTTGTGCATGTTCTGACCTGTGTAAATACTGAGACACCACATTGTTCTGTCTTCCTCTCTCTCTCAAAAAAAAAAATCATTAAAAAATCAAAAGGATCACTGTAACAATCAAGCAAGAGACGACTTATGTAGGCCTAGCATTTACACAGTCAGAGACAGCTGTATTCTAACTTGGTAAGGTTTAAAGTTGATGCCTGACATAGCAAATAATCACTTAGGTTGTCCACTACAACAAGTGTTATGGTATAATGATTACAGGGCAGCAACTGTTTCTGTAGAGGTAAAGACACTGGGGGCACACAAACACATGTGCATGCACGTTTACCAAGCTTTCTAAATGAAGTCATGCCATAGAAATACCATATAATTGTCAGGACCTCCCATTGACTTCTGTTGTACTTTCAGCAAATTATGATTGCTACAGGTTAACCCTTAGAGAGATTATATAGATCAGTGGTTAACCCTTTATTTGAGATCTCATGAAGGCATTTAGGCAAAATGAGGCAAAAGCATACAAATATTACTAATATATAATATATTAGACAAGTATACAAGCTAAATGGGGACATAGACTTAAATAAAAACCATAAATATGTATATTTCAAAGGAAATGGACGTATGGATTAATTTAACATGTAGGCCTAATAGGATGTGAAAAAATATTTAATGTTCATTATATGATATATCATAATATAATATTATGTTTCATCTACCATTTATATTAAATAAGTATAAACAAGAGCACATGAAACAAGTACACACACACACACACACACACTCGTGAGCACTATAGACGTACTTAAACATTTCCACCTCAAAAGTCTACCATAGGACATTAATACTCCTTCTAGTGGTTTAGTTTCTAAGATTTATAACTTAGTCCTTTTACTGCAATATACTTATATTCCAGCTATCTACTCCTGGGAAAGGGAAGGTCTTGCTCAACCTGATTGGGACGTGGTATGGATCAGATGTTTCACTGCTTCTAAGAATCTTGCTCATCAGATGATTCATTATAAATGTATCAACAGGGCCTATATCACTCCCAGTATACTATACAACATGAAAGCTAGATCTGATCCTTACTGTAATTTATGTAATAAATCTACAGTTGGTTCTTACTTGCATATGTTTTGGGAATGCCCAGTGTTGGTTCCTTTTTGAAAATTTGTATGTTCTGTTCTTTCGGATTTCCTGCACTTGGATATACCTCGAGATCCCCTGCTTTTAATATTGTTAGACGATGCCATTCTCCAGCTGAATGCTCATCAAAAAAGGACCTTATCAGCTGCAAGTACCGCTGCCAAAAAGACTATTTTGAAATTATGGATAGAACCATCCATTCCCACAACTTCTACCTGGCTATCATACTTCAGAGACATTGCCTTGCTGGAAGGTACCACTGCCAGGCTCAACGGCGCAAAAGACAACACTATTCGGAGTTGGGCAAATATTGCTGTGATGTTGCTAGATAGGCTGGAAAGTTGACATTACTGCTATGCATATCTGAATTTTATTTTTTTTATTTTTCTTCCTCTCCGTTGGTACAAGTGGACAGCTTCATGGCATCTGTTTGTGCATAGTTCTCTGGAACTGTGAGTTGTGATATATGTTTCTGATGTGAACCTAAATCTGAATAAAAATGTTGATCATAAAAAAAAAAGTCTACCATAAAGGAACCACATCAGACAAGTGAGAGCGTCGCGTTGAAGGCGTTCGTCATCTTTAAACGACGCGAATCCCACGATAATACCGTCAGAGTATTATTTAAAATCCTACACAATAAAATTAGAAGAGAAGGCATATGTATAATAACAGGCTGAAGTAAAGACTGTGTGTTGAGAGGGAGGGAGACGGAGGAAAGTCCTGCCCTTTCTGAAAGATTTCCTGTTTCACTGGGCGAGCAGAAGCAAGCGACTCAAGCCCTCGGATTCCCTCAGTCTGTTGACTTCAGCAGCATGAGACGCTCTGCTTTCCTCAGGATCAGACGCTAAAATCACTAGGCTTTCTGGTCAAACAACGCCAGCTTGGTCGCGTTCACATTAATGCGAGGGATACGGACAGGACTGCGTTTCTAATGGCGCAATATTGGCTTTCTCTGCTCTGTTGGGGGACTTTTTTGATTTCTTCGGCTGTCATGGATCGGAGCGGAGTCGGTGAGTTAATGTCTTGACACCTCTCGCGCGCTCCTTAAGTTATCATATTACGTTACGCGTGTACGTGTGTTTTATGCAGGAGACCCAGTTATTTATCATCTTCTGTGGCTCGTGTACTCATAGTGGAGCGTTTGTTTCTTGACTGCTTTCTTTAAAGGCGTGCAACAGGTGATGGCATTCAGTGAACGCCAACTTCAGCGTTATTTTTTCCTTGCAGTTTTCAGGAGTTACGTAAGAGCGTAAGAAGCAACATATATTTGCTCAGGTGTTTAAAAATGACATCAGTCCCATAAAATGCTGTTTTATTGTCCTGTCCGACTAAACTTTGCACGTCTGTGTTTTTGATATGACTGACTTGGGCAGAGGTGTCATTATGTTTGTAAATCCGTTATTATTGTGAATGTTTCATGACAGTTGACGTCAGATTTATATATGTATATAGGGCCATGTAATGTAAAGTGTAACTTATATGCACCTTATAAAGTGTCTCTTGAATGGTATGGTGATGGTATCAGATGGGTTTTAATTTGTGGTGCTTTATAAACCATGATGCTGAATGATTACATATTTGTGTACAATGAATACATATATTGCCATTGTTTTAAAATATGACATGATGTCAGAACCGTTTCCTTTTGTGTTATAAACTACTTTAAGATGACCTTAATGATAATTTATAGTAGCTAATTGAAGGAAATCCGCAAAAGGATATGAATGTTCAGAAAAAGCCTAGTTGTACTATGATGCAAGTCCTTAAGAAACATTGTAGTATTATGGTGCATGAAATCATGCAAGTACTGTAATACACTGGTACTTTTTGGGCACATTTTTGTTAGTGGCAGTGACAGTTCTGCCTCTATACGCTTTGAAAGACAAGGCATTCCTCTAATCGGGTGCATAACATTTTAACATGTTAATACATAAGCTTGTTTCTGTTGTTGTTCCCTCAAATGTGTGTTCACACAAGGGAACGCCCTTATGAGCTGACAGCTGAAAAACATTAAGAGTTTGTCTTTTCGGTTGTAGTGGAAGTGTTTGACAGTGCGCGCAGGACGTTTTTCTATTTCAACCAGCCCCGCATCCTTCCTCCCATTGGTATAAATTGTTTATCTCTCTTTGTCCTGTCATTAATCTCAGCCTCTGTGATTACAGGTTTAGACACTAATTACACTCACTGAACTCCTCCCCATCTCACGCCTGTGATTATACAGCAGGAGATGTTTGTCACAAAGCGCTGTGTTTCGTGGAGCAACAGAGATATTTCTTACAGAAATCATATTTTCCAGATGTCCAGCTACATCTTTGCCACTTCCTGTTTCCAGCCTTGCTTGGCTGCATGTAGCTCTGCACACTTCACTGCTGAAACACACTAGGGCTGTGTGTGCTATGTTTGAGCCACGTGCAAGCATTTTGCCCTGCTTGTTTTAGGCAGTACAAATAGCATTAGATGCCCCTGTATGCAGGACACTTGCCTTCCTGTTGGTGTCTGCCCAAATAGGTCATTTTGAGCTCATCCTGTCTTGCATTCTGCACTTAAAAATCATAGTTTTTGTTGTTGTTGAGTCACTCTGCTGTCAAGTTTAAAAAGGAAAATTGCAATTGTGCAATTAATGGTGCTCAGATTAGGGCTGCACGATTAATCGAATGCGATTGTAATGCGCATT